CATGCTCTCCTCCTGATCATTATCGTTTCCACTTTTCGGTTCAGTTGATTTAGTCTGGTTTTGGATCGCTTCGTCTGCATAATTACTTCGTTACTTTATTGATTTTTGGGGAATTTGAGTGTCTTTGAATCTCACGGAGGTGTGGTTTAACGACTAATGACTGTGAGGAGCTCTGGACTAGACGTCCATCTTGTTGACGCAGAACCCCAGAGGTTTCTGTTGAAAAACTCTGACCTGGATTCAATTTAATTATTTTCTTCCACATTATTATTAGAGTGGGTTTTTGTTTTATTTTTGTGTAGTTATCTTCGTTTTTTCTGTGTGTATATGTTTCCGTGTGCATATGCTTATGTTTAGGGGAAAAAAAAAAAAAGGAAAACTGTAAATTGTATTTCTGTGATTGTAAGCATTATAATGTGTTTTTCCAATAAAAATATTTTAAAAAAAAAGAAAAACTCTGACCTGGATGGGGAACACGGCGGCGTCCCGGACCAGGAAGGGTTTGACTTTAAAGGCCTTGCTGAGGGCGGCGGCCTGGTACACGGCGCCCATAGCGGCGGCCTCGTCCGCATTGATGTTCTTCCCCAGCTCCTCTCTGGAAACGCAAACAGAAACAAAAAAAAATTTAGGTTTTTATTTTTCCCCTCGGTTAGCTGCCAAACGGCCTGCTGGCCTCTACGTTTGCCGTCTCCTTCGTGTTTTCGGGTGTTAACCCGATTCTTTAGTTGGAAACCTGAGGATAAACCAAAATGGATCAAGAGGAAAAAAATGACATTTATTGGTCAGATAATCAGTCAGACTTTATCAACAGAATAAATACTGACGACTCCATTGAGTCCCAAAATGAATAAACAGCTTTTTTATTCTTTTTCCCAATGTTAGCCCGATTTAGTAGGAAACTGAGAATAAACCAGAGTGGATCAAGAGTATAAAAAATGACATTTATTGGACACAGTTAAGTGTATCAGCTGGGCTCTGACAGACTAAAACCTCTCTCTGGGTCTCAGTGGGCAAAGAGCCCTGAGATCTGGGTGATGGGCATTATCTCCTGGGCTCCATCCGCCTCCTCAAAGGAGGACTGGACACAACCAAGTCCTATTGGCCAGTTACCTAAGAGACTAACAAACCAAATCGTAATTCATGTAGATTACATTGGAATGTGGTAACAAATGGTGTGTGTGTGTGTGTTTGTGTTGACTTAAAGACGTGTATCTAATGCAACAGAGAAAGGAAAAGAGAGAAAAGAGAGTCTGTGGACACAGACAGAGACTTCAACACAAAATACAGTTATAAAAGAAAATAAGACAATCAGTAATCTACATAGATCATGTGATAGCATCCTATGCTAACGTGAGTATTTATAGCCAAATCCTAACGTGGGTCAGAACTCACTTGGCCACAGCTTTCAGCAGCACTTCCTGAACTTTGGGCACGCGGGTGGAGCCGCCCACGAGGATCACCTGCTCGATCTCCTCCTGCAGGGGGGGGACAACCGCCGTCAGAGCTGGGCTGTTAGCTAACGTTAGCTAATGTTAGCTAATGTTAGCTAATGGGCTCATTAATTACAGGCTCACAGCTGGAGGCAGAATTTCATTCGGCTTTTTTTAAATGACTCATGGAACAGGATGGGGATGAGCAGAAGTGAGTATTTCTGCATTAAAAAGAGATTTTACATGCGTAGAAACTGGAGTAATTACGCTTTTTTGGCCCATTTCATTGCTGCTTCTAAAGATTTTGATGGTGTAAAATTACCTAAAAGGTATTTTGTCAAATTAAAGGAACAGAAAATCAGATAAATCTCTCACTAAAATTTGTGCTTTTGGCATGTTTAACGGATATAAAATGGAGTAAAGCATGTGCACCTAAAAAAAGATAGATTCATGTTTTTGGAAGATTCATTAAAGCTGAATTTTGTGTCCATTAGCGCCAACTTCCATTTGCTCTTCATATGATTTATAGTTTTACGTCAACTATGCTGCAGAGAAGAGTAAATATTTTGTTTCAAAAGGCAGAGTGGATCAGAAATGAGCCCCCTTGACCTCTGTGTGGCAAAAAAAGGGCTTAAAAACAACAAAAACAACTGAGGCTTGTTCGAAATGTCACCAAATGTTTTAGTAGGTGCTTTTTAAAAAGAAAAAATGGATACAGAAGGGTAACTTCTGCCATTTTAAACTTTAATGTGCTAATTAAGTGGGCACTGAGTTAGATAAAGTTATGTAGCACCTCTGTAATAATCATTCTGGCCACAGAGGACCATGGATGGAGGTTTTTAAAAAATTTAATTGATTTATTTTATCCATTTTTTTATTTTTTATTTGATTTATTTATTTATTTAATTATTTTAATTTAATTTATTTTTTTATTATTATTTTTTTATTGATTTATTTATTCATTTATTTATTTATTTAAACATCCATCCATGGATGGAGGTTTAATGTGAGGCCTGGGGCATATTTTGGGAACTGGTTTTTGAGGGGGGGCTCACCAGCTTCATCTCTGCAGAAGTCAGGGCGTCCTGCACGGGTCCGGGGACCCGGTCAAACAGGTCCGCACACAGCTCCTCAAACTCAGACCGGGTCACCTTCGCTTTGAAGTCGATGTCGTCCATTAGGCCTTCCACCTGAGGGGGGGGGCAGAGACACGGATCAGCCGGAGGGGTCCCAACACAGAGCAGGCGGTCCGATGAGAAACAGGAGGGTTAGAGTGAGCTACTGTTTGTAGAAATGTAGAAATAATGTTTAAAACTGGTGCCCTCTTCTCTGGGTGCTGCTGCCTTTGGCTCCGTTCTTTGTCTGATGACCCCGAACCGTTTCAGTAACGAGATCTGCCCAGTTTTAAGCTAGCAGCTCTTTGGGAATGCTCAGAAATCCTGTTTCCTGTCTGTCAGACTGGGTTTTTCTTTGGCCTTTTTCCTCCATCAGCTCCATAAATGGAACAAATAATGTGCCTAAAGATCCACTTTAAACTGCTGCTCAGTTGTTTGGATACAGCGCTGGCTCATCCCTTGAGTTAGGGGCCTTTTCCTACCTGAATTACTCAGAGTTTAGTGGTTTAACGAAGAAAAAGAACATTCCTCTGAAAATAATGGAGGTACAAGGCCTGAAAATTATGTTAAAAAGAGCCTAAAGATCCACTTTAACACTGCCTGAATAAGTCAGAGTTGGAAGTTAAGTGGTTTAAAGAAAAAAACAAAACATTCCTCTGAAAATGATAAGGGAACAAGGACTGAAAATTAAGGGGGGAAAAGCAGAAAATGTTTAAAGAAAGGCTGAAGAACTGTTAGTATGGACCGCCTTAAGAGAAAATCTACCCAGAAAACCAGATTTATAGCCAAAAACTGCCAGCTTAAAAGGATTTAAAATGCTTTTAAAAACAGATCTGGACCCTTTCGACACCCTAAAGCAGTGTTTTTCAACCACTGTGCCTCGGTACACTAGTGTGCCGTTAGTGATGGTCAGGTGTGCCGTAGAAAATCATCCTATTTCACCTCATTGGTCTAAAAAGATTTTTTGATAAGGAATCAATTATCTGCTAATAATATGCCATTTTTGAGTGTCTGTGCTGTTCTAGTGACTGGTGGAGTAATCATGTAATAATTCCTTATGACTAGATTTTGTATTTAATTTTGAATATTGAAGTGGACATGTTAAGTGCAATTTGAAAGAGAAATATAAAATATGATAAAAATAAATGTTTGTGTTTATTTGATTCCTATTCAAGACACTTAAGATAAGAATGAGATAAGAATAACTATAGTGTCACTATAGGCGGCAACAGATTTGTTTGACATTTTTGGTTGGTGGTGTGCCTCGTGATTTTTTCTTGGCTCAAAAAAGGTTGAAAAACACTGCCCTAAACTGAGGATCTGATTAAATCAGAGCTGGGGGAGCGTGGGGTGGGAGGGGGGGGGCCAGGGGGGGGTGGGGGGGGCAGTTGGGGGTCACCTGGGCCATGAAGTCTGCGTTGGCGCTGAGCACGGTCTTCAGCCTCTGGGCCTCCTTCAGCAGCTTGGCCATGGCGCGGTGGTTCTCCCTCACGTCTTTGGGGCTCTTCTTCTGCTGGTTGAAGAGCCGGGCCAGGTGGTCCCGCAGCCGCAGGTCCATCTCAAAGCCGCCCAGCCCGCGATCATATCTGCAGACACCCCCCCCCCCCACGTTAACCTCTGACCCCACGTTAACCTCTGACCCCAGGTTAACTCATTGGCTGCCAAAGGCGTCTATAGACGTCTTTTATGTTTTTCAACAAGAGTGTCTGGGGGACGATCTGCTAAAGCTTGTCTGTAAATATCAGGCTTCTAGACAGAGTATGTAGTAACAAATTGACCCTCTAGGGGGCAGTGCCACTTTTGATGGGAGATGAGCATAGACTGTAGGCAAATAAGAAAAAGCTAACGGTTCTATGAGAGAACATGTCGCCGGTGAGACGCAAGTCCAGGAAGAACGGAATAAGGTAGAAACACTTTTTTTTTTCCTGATGAAAGAAGAGAGTCTACTCTTTCTTTTGGCGTGTTCGGTGTTTACATAGTCATAGCACAAACTATTCTGTGGCTCTTGAAAAATCAGTCAAAATGCTCAAAAAACTCTGGCAGTATGGGACTCTGTTCTGAAAATGGCTGCCAGTCAATGAGTTAACCTCCGACCCCAGGGCCGTGTCACAGTCGGATCTTTAGTATCGTATCCCTGAAGCTGACGGGACGTTAGGCCTAGTCGACCAGATTCTGAGGCCTCTTAAAGGAGCAGACTCTGGCTGGATATCCAACTCCTCCCACATCCAAGTCGGCCATTTTTATTAGGTCATGTGACTAGCAGCTTTCTGAGGTGGAAATGAAACTTGACTGTCTATACGAAATTGGAAGATAAACTATGTCCTAACCCTAAATTTACCCTGACCCTAAACCCAACCCTAAACCTAGCACTGACCCTGACCCTGACCCTAAACCTAACCCTGACCCTGACCCTAATCCTGACCCTAACCCTAACCCTTCAAAAGTGTGAGAAATAAATATTTTTTGGCTAAACTTGTTTGGACTTATTGTACAAACCTAGTTAACAAACATTATTTTAACATAATATTATGGTTAGAGTTTAATTCAGTGTTTGCAAGATTCATTTCACTATTTTCAAATTAATGTCTATATTGCCATGAAGCATTTACAAATTTGTTGCCTGGGATCTTCCTATTGGTGACCTAATCAAAATGGCCGACCTGGATGTGGGCGGAGTCGGATATCCATCCTTGGCTTCCTGTAGCCAGACGGACTTGGTTCAATCAGGTTTATGGGTATTTTTGAATCATAGAGAAGATATAACTGGATAAATATAATAAATGTGACACTCCTGTACCGATTTGATTTGCTATGTGGTAAAATGTAGGCACTTTGTCTTTGGTTTGGTTTTTCTTCTTCTTGTTTACTTTCATTATATTTTGGTTTGTGTGTTGTTGGTTCTTTGATATATAGAAGGGACAGAAAAATGATGTATGTTTACAATTTTCTGGATTTCATTGATTTGGACGTTTATCCTTTTTGACGGGAAAAACATCCTGGGATCTTCCTATTGGTGACCTAATCAAAATGGCCGAACCCCCCCTCCCCCCCACACTCACCCGACTCCTCTGATCTGGAGCTGGGGCTGGGTGCCGGCCTCCTTGGTCTTGACCGTCTGGTAGGTGACGATGGTTGCCGTGGTGCTGCCCGAGCCCATGTCGTAAAACATCACGTTCTGAAAGCAGAAAACAGGCTCTAATCAATCAATCAATCAATCAATCCATCAATCAATGTTTATTTATATAGCACTTTACAACAACCGAAGCTGACCAAAGTGCTTTACAGAATAAAAACAGATCAAACTATCGAAATATACAAAGACAAACACGTTGGTGACAGCACCCAGTATTTACGTGCAAAAAGTCATTCTGAACAAATACGTTTTAAGTTGAGCTTTGAACAGTGGCAGGTCAGTAAATGAACCGAGGGATTAATAAAGTTTGTATCCATCAATGAATCCTCTTTGCCATTTTTCTTTTACTGTTACATTTTGATGAGTTTATTGATAAGTACTGGAGTTTTGAGATAAGTTTAAGTTAGGTTAAGCATTTTATAATTAAGCTTTTTTCCTCTTTTTGCCCTCTGGTTTCTGCTTTTTCTCCTGCTAAGCTGCTGGAACCTGAATTTCCACATCCAAAAGGAGAAAGAAAGTCAAGTCTGAGTCTAAATCTCAGCTCAACTGGTCCGATGTGGATTTCTTTTTATTGTTACTACTTGTAACTCCTTATTCCATTTTATTATTATGTATCAATGTGGATGTTTGGTAACTTGTGTGATTGTTTGTTACCAGACACCTGAATTTGTCCTACAAGGAAAATAAAAATAAGTTTGTATCCATCAATGAATCCTCTTTGCCATTTTTTCTTTTATTGTTACATTTTGATAAGTTTATTGATAAGTACTGGAGTTTTGTGATAAGTTTAAGTAAGGTTTAGCATTTTGTAATTAAGCTTTTTTCCTCTTTTTTGCCCTCTGGTTGCTGCTTCTGTCCCATTAAGTCGCTGGAACCTGAATTTCCACATCCAAAAGGAGAAAGAAAGTCCAGTCTGAGTCTAAATCTAAGGTCAACTGGTCCGATGTGGAGTTTTTTTTCTATTGTGGATTTTATTGTTATTATTTGTAACTCCTCATTTCCATTTTATTATTATCTATTAATTTGGATGTGTGATAACTTGTGTGACTGATTGTTACCAGACACCTGAATTTCTCCTACAAGGAAAACATTTAAATAAAGTTTGTATCCATCAATAAATGCTCTTTGCTATTTTTGTTTTAATATTACATTTTGATAAGTTTAAGTTAGTTTTGCTGCTGGAACCTGAATTTCTCTGAAGGAGTCGCATCCAAAAAGGAGAAAGAAAGTCAAGTCTGAGTCTAAATCTCAGCTCAACTGGTCTGATGTGGATTTCTTTTCTATTGTGCATTTTATTGTTACTACTTGTAACTCCTCATTTCCATTTTATTATTATTTATTAATTTGGATGTGTGATAACTTGTGTGACTGATTGTTACCAGCTGCCGAGGGATTAATAAAGTATGTATCCATCAATGAATCCTCTTTGCCATTTTTTTCTTTTATTGTTACATTTTGATAAGTTTATTGATAAGTACAGGAGTTTTGTGATAAGTTTAAGTTAGGTTAAGCATTTTATAATTAAGCTTTTTTCCTCTTTTTGCCCTCTGGTTTCTGCTTTTTGTCCTGCTAAGCTGCTTGAACCTGAATTTCCACATCCAAAATGAGAAAGAAAGTCCAGTCTGAGTCTAAATCTCAGCTTAACTGGTCCGGTGTAGAGTAGCATCCTGAAGGGAAGCTAAATCCTGGATGGGAGGAGCTCACCTTGGCGGAGGCGTCGATGTCCTTCCTCCTGAAGATGCCGTAGTTCAGGGCCACGGCCGTGTTGTCGCTGATGAGCTGCAGCACCTTGAGGCCGGCGGCCTGCGCGGCGTGCAGCACGGCCCGCCGCTCCGCCTGGTTAAAGAAGGCCGGCACCGTGACCACAGCGTCTTTGATGGGCTGCTCTGTGGGGGGGGGGGGAGGTTTGAGAGGAGGAGAAAAATCAGAGCAAAACACATCTGTGGTACAGACATTTGCTGACATTTTCTCCACAAGATTGAAAAAATGGCTCAAAGACAATCAAGAGTGTGAGCACTAAACTGGCTTGTACTGTACAGTTTTTTTTTTGTTTTTTTTTGTTTGAACTTCTCTTGTTTCTTATGCATCTAGGCGTCGTCACTAACCTCCTTCCCCCTTAATGCTAACACCTTTTAAAAGCCTAACCAGGGACAAAGGCTGCAAATTAGCCCACGGCTACAAGACTTATGTAGTTGGACATCGGCCACCTGTTTGGTTACAATGTTTAATTTTATTGTCCCTGTCAAATAAATAAATAAAATAAAAAAAACTTTAAGACAAGAACGTCTGGCTGCAGAGTGCACCAATATTGGTATTTTATTGGTATTGGTATTTTTGTGTCATGTTTGTACGTTTTCAGTTGAAAAATATACTAAATAATTGTAATTCTCAGTTTTTTCCTTGATGTTCAAGCATGCAGACTCCGGCCAACATTCATTGATAATTTCGTAATCGCAGAATAGTCCACAACAATCGCACATTTCCACCAACAGACCTGCGAAGTCCTGGGCTAGGCCGCGGGAATAGTTCAGCACCATCCCCAGCAGCTCCTCCGGCGTGAACTGCAGCTCCCTACCAGACAAACACAGGAGGGTTAGGGTTAGGGTTAGGGTTAGGGTCAGGGCCGAGGGTCAAGGTCAGGGTTAGGTTTTGGATTAGGGTTACGGTTAGGGTCAGGGTTAGGGTCATGATCAGAGTTAGGGTCAGGTCTAGGGTTAGGTTTAGGGTCAGGGTTAGGTTTAGGATTAGGGTTACGATCAGGGTTAGGGTCAGAGTTAGGTTTAGGGTCAGGGTTAGGTTCAGGTTTAGGTTTAGGATTACAGTCAGGGTCAGGGATAGGTTCAGGGTTAGGTTTAGGATTAGGGTTATGGTTATGGTCAGGGTTAGGTTTAGGATTAGGGTTACGGTCAGGGTTAGGGTCAGGTTTAGGATTACGGTCAGGGTCAGGGTTAGGTTCAGGGTTAGGTTTAGGATTAGGGTTACGGTCAGGGTTAGGGTCAGGTTTAGGTTTAAGTTTTGGATTAGGGTTAGGGTTAGGACATCGTTTATCTTCCGATTTCATACAGACAGTAAAGTTTCGTTTCCACCTCAGAAAGCTGCTAGTCACATGACCTAATCAAAATGGCCGACTTGGATGCTTTCTAAACTTTACTTGAGGCATGTGGATCTGGGGGAGACTCACTCCGAGTTCCTGAAGCTGACGGTCTCCCGGAGGGGGTCCTCCAGCAGCCGGTCAGGTTTAGGGTCAGGGTTAGGTTTAGGGTCAGGGTTAGGTTTAGAGTTAGGGTTAGAGTTAGAGTTAGGGTCAGGGTTAGGTTCAGGGTCAGGGTCAGGGTTAGGGTTAGGGTTAGAGTTAGAGTCAGGGTTAGGTTCAGGGTTAGGTTCAGGGTCAGGGTTAGGGTTAGAGTTAGAGTCAGGGTTAGGTTCAGGTGTAGGATTACAGTCAGGGTCAGGGTTAGGTTTAGAGTTAGGGTTAGAGTTAGGGTCAAGTTTAGGGTTAGGGTCAGCTTTAGGTTTAGGGTTATGGTCAGGGTTAGGTTTAGGGTTAGAGTCAGGGTTAGGTTCAGGTTTAGGGTTAGGTTTAGGATTACGGTCAGGGTTAGGGTTATGGTCAGGGTTAGGACATCGTTTATCTTCCGGTTTCGTATAGACAGTAAAGTTTTGTTAACAAAACAGTAAAGTTTCGTTTCCACCTCAGAAAGCTGCTGGTCACATGAACCTAATCAAAATGGCCGACTTGGATGCTTTCTAAGCTTAACTCACTCTGAGTTCCTGAAGTGGACGGTCTCCCTGAGGGGCTCCTGCATTAGCTGGTGCTCCGGAAAACGTTCCCGGTACAGTTTCACCTGCAGGTTGTCTTCCTTCTTTCCCAGAAGGCTTTGCAGGTGCCTGTACACCGTTTTGGGGTTCTTCACCGACTGAGGGTGGAGAGGAAGAGAGAGTGAGGAAACATGGAGGAGTCTGGGAGCTGGACGGGGTCCGGTGGGGGTCCTACCATGCCCAAAGCGTTGTCCCCAAACAGCCTCTCGTTTTCCTTCAGACACACAACGGTGGGCGTTTTCCTCCTCGACTCCCTGGGTTAAAACACACCAAAAAAAACAACACAGATTTAACTCATTGACTGGCAGCCATTTTCAGAACAGAGTCCCATACTGCCAGAGTTTTTTGAGCATTTTGACTGATTTTTCAAGAGCCACAGAATAGTTTGTGCTATGACTATGTAAACACCGAACACACCAAAAGAAAGAGTAGACTCTCTTCTTTCATAAGGAAAAAAAAATGTGTTTCTACCTTATTCCGTTCTTCCTGGACTTGCGTCTCACCGGGGACATGTTCTCTCATAGCGAACCGTTCCCTTTTTCTTATTTGCCTACAGTCTATGCTCATCTCCCATCAAAAGTGGCACTGCCACCTAGAGGGTCAATTTGTTACTACATACTCTGTCTAGAAGCCGATATTTACGGACAAGCTTTAGCAGATCGTCCCCCAGCCACTCTCGTTGAAAAACATAAAAGACCTCTATAGACGTCTTTGGTAGCCAACGAGTTAAAGATAAGCGATCATTTCCAGTTATTTACTTTGTTTTTGACCACCTAAAATTCCTTCATTTTGCTCCTCAAGCGGCTAAAATCTCCAAAAACCTGCTTTGCGAGTCTCTGGATGTCAGACTTGTTCCACAATTACACTGATTTTTGTGTCTTCTTTTGTTATTTTTTGATCCGATCGTCAATTTTTCTGGTATTTTTCAGTATTGGTCAGTTTTTTGCTTGTTTCTGGTCTTTTACTCCAGGTTTTGGTCATTTTATGGCTAATTGTTGGAGTTTTGTGTCATTTTCGGCACTTTTTTCACAAACATCTGTGCAGCCTCAGCTGGACTTTGTGAGTCTCTGGATGTCAGACTTGTTGTGGACTAACTGTTTTCCTGGAGGATTTAACCCTATAATGCCAAATGTGTCATGTTTGATACGGTTTCTGAAGTCTTTTGGATCTGAGACTTTCTGCATCATTCAGTGGTAAAAGCTTTGCTCAAACCCCTGTTGTACACATTCAGATATACCTGATAACAGCCAGTAGTAGACTACACCAACATACATTTTTGACTTATTGCACGCTAATTTGATCAAAATTGTTGTTGTTTTTTTCTGGAGCCTCCTTAAAACCGGCTTAATAACACCACGGACAGCTACACTGGGGGGGGTGGGGGAATATACAAATCTATAACACATGTAGCGGTTAAAGGAGACGAGCCACTCCCCTCCCCTCTGGTCACTCACTTGTTGAGGACGATCTCCATGGGAACGCCGGGCTTCACGATGGCCATCTTCATCCACTCGCTGCCCAGGTCCACGGACATGACGGCCACCGAGTCTGCAAGGGGAGTGGTCAGAAAGCAGCCGGTCAGAAAGCAGCCGGACAAAAATCAAAAACCAAAAGCCAAACATTGGGGGGGGGGCATTACCTGTGTGGGGGGGCAGCATGGCCAGAACCAGGCAGGTGAGAGAGGCCAGCAGCAGACTCCTGGCCCCCATGATGAGCTGAAAACACATCAAAACATTTCAATAAAAAATAAAAAAATTTTTTAAAAAAACGCGTTGATACTTTCTCTGAATAAATGCTCAAATCACAGAGTAAAGCACCTGGAAAAAAAATCATCATCTGACCCTATTTCTTCCCATTTTGGGGCCTAGCTGAGCAGTTTTCCTGGGTCTGTGAAGGACTTTCCAGGAGTTTCCTCCAGCATTTTCTTTGCTGAGCCCCCTTAAAAATACTCAAAGCAGCAGAAAGGCCCCTAACTCAAGGGATGAGCCAGGGTTGTGTCTTCAAATAACTTAGCTTGTTTTAGTTTTAATTGTTTAGGCTGCTCAGGAATGTGATTTTTAAGCCGTCGGGCCGTAGAAACTCAGTTGGTGCCTGGTAAACTTTAGATTTTTATTTATTTATTTGTATATTTTTGCTTAAACTGATTCTAACTTGACACTGTTTGCCCTTTAAGCTGCTGGTAACCTTAATTTCCTGAGGGAGTCTTCCCAAGGGATCAATAAAGTACTGTCTAAGTCTAAGTCTAACTTTATGTAAAGTGTTCATTTGTATATCCATTAACATACAATGTATACAACCAGTTCTTTTTGCATAAATCTGGTCACTTTATGTATAAAATGGAGACTTTGTACCGTCTTTCCTGCTTTGTAATAGCATGTCAGAGCCAGTTGGACCATCTGTGACAATCTGACTTATAAACTTGGTTTTTATTCCATTTAAATGCACATTTCTGCAGATTTCTGCACCCGTTTCCTGTTGTTGAGAAACGAGGGGTCCAAAACTGTTCTGAAATGATGTCAGTAACCCTCCTCACCCTCTTTTAAACACCTCGTTGGCTTTTTCTGGATGTAAAGCGTTAATGGAGAGGGACCAGAGGTCCTTTGGATGACGTCCTGCTGTTATCTCCACACGGTGGACGTGCACGGTGCTCAACTCTTATTATGCTTAGGTGAACGAGCCGGTGCACGCGCGCAGGTTCACCTGCAACCGGGTGAGCACCGTCCCACGCACGTGGCGTATCGATCCGGACCGGATCTTTAGCAGAAAAAAACGCAGATTTCTGCACCGATAGGAGCCTCCGGACGATGGCCGGGGAGGAGAACCGGTGGCCGGGGCTCAAGCTCCGGGCGACCCGGCGTCAGCCAGTGACGCAAGAATGCACAATAAACGCAAACATTTCCCCTTTTCCCCCGTTTTTAGCGCAGTTTCCCCTCGGCTTTAACCTTTTTTAGCTGGTATAAATCAGCAGGGTGTTACGGATAAGTTGGTGATGAGCAGCTAACTTGGACCCGGTTCTTTAGCATCACAGCCACCGAGCGTTTGATTCAAACTTAGCCGGAAACTCCGCGGTTTAGTCCCCGGTTAACGTCGCTATTTTGACATTAAAAAAAGGGCTGAAAAAAGAGCTGACAGGCTCCGTTAGCTAGCCTCCGGCTGACAAACACCAGCCGGAACTCACCTTTCCCTCTGGCTCCTGTCGGTTCGGGGCTAAACCAGCCGTTGGGGCAGCTAAAAGCAGCCGTTAGGGAGCTAAAATAGCCGTTGGGCGGCTAAAAACAGCCGTTGGGCGGTTCGCGACGGGCTTTATGGTTGCGGGTTCAAATGCGGGGGTCCTGCCGGGACCGGGTGCCTCCGTGCGGTCACGCTGGGTGCTTCTGGTTCCCCTTATCGCCGGGTGTCGGGCCCCGGAACGCGGCGTCACCTCATTGGATCCACCGGAGATGCTAACCACGAGAAAACGGCCGTCAAGCCCGGGCGCTTTCCACGGCTCCGCTTCCGGTTGGCTTTCAGAGTAAAAGCACCACGACGGCCTCACGCAAAGATATGAGCTAAAAAATTTAATAAACACGTCTGGGAAAAGAGTAAAACTAACCAAATTATTCTACTTGTTACCACCAGGCCTGTTTTTGTTTTCAGCAAAAGTCATGGCACGACTCTAATTTCTTGTTTTGTTTTTGCTTCGAAGATCATAGTCTTTCTTAGATTATTTTAATTTTGCCTTAGATGGAGTTTTAATTTGAACTTTTAATAGTTTTCTGCTTTATTAGCCATTTTAAGATGTTCTGATCAGTTCTTGTGCCTTCACACTTTCAGAAGAATGTGTTTTTCTTTGTATTGTGAATAGATCATTAATAATAATTTCCCTTATTAAAGCATTTCCAATTCTGATTCTGATTGTACTGCCACCAAAGTAGATAGATAGATAGATAGATAGATAGATAGATAGATAGATAGATAG